GCGTTCCGCTCCTCATCAAGACGCATGTATCCCAGACACTCCACATGCTCGCCGAGCACCGCGCGCAGCTCCTTGCTCCGCTCGCCGATCCCGCCAGAAAACACGAGCGCATCCACTGCACCGCCAAGCTTCAAGTGATACGACCCAATATAATCCAGCACCCGATCCGCAAACAGGTCGAACGCAAGCCGCGCATCGGCGTCGTCCTTCCTGCGCGCCGTGATCGCGGCAAAGTCCGTCGTGCCCGCGAGGCCTTCCACCCCGCCTGGGTGTTCAGGATGTGCTCCGCCTGTGTGACGTGGAGGTGCACGGCGCTGCCCTTGTCGTGCGACATGCGCCCGGCCTTGTTGGTGTAGTGGAATATGAGGGATGGGTCGATTGTGCCGGAACGCGTGGCGCCGGGGAGCCCGTTGAGCGGGGTGAGGCCCATGGAGGTGTCGAGGGACTTGCCGTGCTGGATGCAGCAGGCTGACGCGCCGGATCCGAGGTGCAGGATTATGAGGTTGAGGGAGTCGGCTGGCTGTGCGCTCATGAGCGGGGCGATAGAGTGACGGAGTGGCAAGTACCTTTTGCAGAAAGCGTGAAACCGAGCGCAGAATGAAGGAATCTTCAAGGCAAGGTTAGCTGGGTAACGAGGGGTGTGTAGGATATCGCGTACAGCTCAGCCCGTGGAAACCGTATTTTTTCAGTCCACGCTGTTTCGCGATCTTTTGGTCAATGGCGTAACTGGATATATGGGCTGGGATCGACCGGTGGAAGGCTGTGTCGAAGAATGCTATCGACTGGGCGTTGGGGAGTTGAGAAAGGCAGGTCTTGATGACGGCGAGAGACGCGCCGTTGTGGCTGGAGGGCAGATTATTATAATTATTACCCGCTAGGAACGGCGTACAGAGGTGCGAGGTCCGACAACCGCTCGATGTGGGTGTACGCTTCGTCGTTGATCACCACAGGGTCTGTATAATCGCCGCCGTGGACCACGCGATGGCAGACATGGGTGATTCTGGCACGATCGATGTCCACTTCATGGCCCAGGCAGTCGATAAAATGGGCAAAGGCAGAGGCATGGTCGTGGACGGATTGTGGTTCTTCATCCTTGTTGGTGCCATCTACAACCTTGAATGAAAATTTCGCGGGCGGGGCAGAGATATTGGAGATTGAGGACGTGAGTATCAGTTTAACTGGCTCGGGTTACGTCCCTGGCCGGGCACCATATAGAGATATCTTGAGAGACGATGACCCTGCATTTACAGACAGCACGAGATTGTTTCCGTTCGACATGGGATATAGCAGAGACCAGGATCGCGTCGCGAATTTTAATAGTGACGTCGGTGGACCTAGACCATGACGACCTTCTCTCATGCGGCGCCACTAAGATTCAAACTTGCATTCCAAACCCGGTGAAAGTGAGAATATTTGGCGAAGGCAAGGACTGGACAGGCCTGAGGAGACCTAGAACCAGAGGTACAGATGGCGAGAAGCAAAAGCAATTTCCTTATTTGGACGCTCCAGGCTTCACCTCGAACTCTCACTTCAACTGAATCCAATTATAGAAATGGCCTAGATTTGCGCATGACGCGCTCGAAATAAACCTATAAATGTGCAGGATGAATCGTCAACCATTCCTCATACCTCCAACTTGAAATGCCTGCCCAGATTCTACTACAGGCTAATCCACCGGCGGACCCGTCCTTGCTGCCTGATTCTGTCCTCCAGCTCGGTGTCCAGCTGAATACCAAGAATTACCTCTCCGACGATGAGCTCAAAGCCATGAAAATGTTTCGCAGGGCAGGAGATTACATCGCAGCTGGTCTGCACTCTTGGATTTCCGTCGCGGGTCTCGGCGGCTAACACCCTTTGCAGCGATGATATTCCTCAACCACAACGTGCTCCTTGAGCGCGACATAAACCACGACGACATCAAGCCTCGTCTCTTGGGTCATTGGGGAACCTGTCCTGGGCTTGTCATGGTTGGTTTCTCTTTCCAAACGCGTCCCATCAATATCCGACTCCCTTGCAGGTATATGCACACCTCAACAGGCTCATCCGCAAGACGGGTCTCAATGCCTTGTACGTCGTAGGACCAGGTCAGTCTGTTTCTTATCTTCGACCTGCTCGCCTTAGTTTTTGCAGGTCATGGCGCTCCTGCTCTTCTGGCTTCTCTGTGGCTCGAAGATTCGCTCTCCGCATTCTATCCCGAAGTTACTCGTGACTACAAGGGCCTTAAGAAACTCATCGCAGGCTTTAGCGTTCCCGGAGGCTTTCCAAGGTTAGCCTCGTCTTAATTCTACGTGCAGCAGTAGATTGACGCGTGCACACCAGTCATATCAATGCAGGAACACCCGGCGCCATCCACGAGGGCGGAGAGCTTGGCTACGCACTCAGTGTATCTTTCGGTGCTGTCATGGACAACCCAGACCTCGTCGTAGCCTGTGTCGTCGGTGACGGTGAGGCTGAGACCGGGCCGACAGCAACTGCATGGCACGGCTTCAAGTATATTGACCCAGCAGAGTCCGGCGCAGTGCTGCCTATCGTGCATGTCAACGGTTTCAAGATCTCTGAACGAACCATCTACGGGACGATGGACGACAAGGAGATAATCGCACTCTTCACGTACGGACATGTCATCTCGTTCAGCTTGTATCACTAACGTTCCAACTCTTAGCGGTTATGGGTACCAAGTCCGCATTATCGAGGACGTCGAGCACATCGACAATAACCTCGCGGCCTCGTTCGATTGGGCCCTTGCAGAGATCAAGAAGATCCAGACTGCCGCGCGCAGCGGCAATCCCATCGTCAAGCCCCGCTGGCCCGTCCTCATTCTTCGCTCCCCCAAAGGCCTCGGCGGCCCCAAAACGTTCCACGGCGAGTTCATCGAGGGCTCATTCCGCTCGCACCAAGTGCCCCTCCCCGGCGCGAAGACATCCGCGGAGGAGCTTGCCGCACTGCAGGCGTGGCTCAAGTCCTACCGTCCTGAAGAGCTGTTCACTCCCGACGGCGTTCCCGTGCCGGAGGTCCTCAGCCTTGTCCCCGATGCCGCAGAACAGCGCCTCGGGCAGAAGAAAGAGAGTTTCAACGCTTACGCGCCATTGATGGTCCCAGAGTGGGAGGGCTTCTGCGTCGAGCAGGGCTCGCAGGAGAGCTGCATGAAGGCGGTGGGTCGGCTCCTCAAAGCCGTCGTCAAAGAGTATGCGTTGACATTTCATCCATCCTTATACCGCGGCTGAGACGTGTTTGCAGAAACCCCCAAAATTTCCGGATCTTTTCGCCGGATGAGCTCGTTTCCAACAAGCTGGATGCGGTGCTCGACGATTCGGGTCGCAATTTCCAGTGGGACATCGAATCGCGCGCCCAGGGCGGCCGTGTCATTGAAATTCTGTCGGAGCACACCTGCCAGGGCATGCTGCAGGGCTACACGCTCACTGGCCGAACGGGGTTGTTCCCCAGCTATGAAGCCTTCCTCGGTTTGTCCTACCTTTTGCGCTGTGATATATGGGGAGCTAATTCCCATGCAGGAATCGTGCAAACGATGATGGTGCAGTACAGCAAGTTCACCAAGATGGTGTGTCGCCTTGTTCTCCTCTTTTTTGCTGGTCGAGACGTTCCCTGCAGTCGGCCGAGATCCCGTGGCGCCAGCCTTGCGGATCCCTCAACTACCTCGAGACGTCCACCTGGGCGCGTCAAGAACACAACGGCTTTTCTCATCAAAATCCGTGCGTGTCACCCTTTCTTTTTCTGCATGCGATTAACCCTCCATAGGGCCTTCATTGGGCGTCCTCAATCTCAAGGCCATTATGGCGCGCGTGTACCTCCCGCCCGACGCCAACTGCTTCCTCTCGACGATGGCGCACTGTTTGAGGGCGAAGAACTACGTGAATCTAATGGTAGGCAGCAAGCAGCCTACGCCGGTGTGGCTTTCGCCGGAGGATGCGGACAAGGTATGTGCCTTCCTCCACACTGTCTCCCAAAACTAACACGGCAAAAAGCACTGCATCGCCGGCGCCTCCGTATGGAAATTCGCGAGTGTCGACGACGGCGTCAACCCGGACGTAGTCTTGGTTGGCATCGGCGTCGAGGTCACCTTCGAAGTCATCGCGGCCGCCGCTCTTCTGCGCAAGCACGTCCCCGAACTGCGCGTGCGCGTCGTGAATGTCACGGATCTGATGATCCTTGCGGCGCACGCGTCCCATCCGCACGCCCTCAGCACGAGGCGTTCGACTCGCTGTTCACGCGGGACAAGCCGATCCACTTCAACTACCACGGGTACCCGATCGAGCTCAAGGGACTGCTCTTTGGGCGCCCGAGGCTCGAGAGGGTGTCGATCGAAGGGTGCGTTGATCCTTCCTCGGTGTTTTCCTTTTACGTGGCGCAACGACTGACTTGGAGACAGGTATCGCGAGGAGGGCACGACGACCTCGCCGTTTGATGTACGTTCTGTCCCATCCCGCATGCGCAGTTTTGGTGTCAGCAGCTAGCTAACCTGTCTGTACGCAGATGATGTTGTGCAACCACACGTCGCGCTTCCACGTCGCCGCTGCCGCCGTCCGCGGCGGTGCCCTGTCGAACCCCAAAGTCGCGGTGACCGCGCACGAACACGAGTCCCTCATCAAACATCTCGCGGCGAAGGAGAAGGAGTATATATATGCGCATGGAAAAGGTACGTTTTCAGCTTGATAATTCCGTTCATGTGTACTGATGATTCCTAGATCATGATGATACGTTCGATACCCACCTTCTGAGCGTTCCTCATTGCTCTTATGCAATTTGTAAGATGTTCTGATGATTCTCGAGTAGCACGACGCATTGACTATGTATATTACGGCTCGTTTAAGGACGGGTTTGTCTCTAGTATCGTACAATGTAACATGTATAAATCACCCAAACCCTGGTTGGAGCCGAAAGTGCCTGGCTTTTTTTTCTGAAACCAGTTTTGGTACATATAGAGATGGTTGCGTCTCCATTGACAAGCAAGGTTCAAAAGCAACGAAAAAAAGTGACAAAAACGACCATGGTGGGACTCGAACCCACAGTCTCTGCCTTGAACCATTACGCTAAGCACGTAACGATCGGAAAGCAACGCAGTAACCATTTTGCCACACGGCCTTGCTGGTGGATCGCCGGCCATGGTTCCAGATGTCTGATGGGACTATTTTTTCCTTGAACAAAAGACTACGCACTGTTGACGCACTGCGTAGAGTACAGCAACCAGACGTGTGACTCACTGTGAGGCACGCAGAAATTCGTTGGTCTAAACTGCGCGTGAACGCAGTGTAGCGTGTAGATCGTAAAGAAGAAAATATGTGTATTCCTTTCTGTCATCTGTTGCGGCGGCACGCGGGGCCTTCGAAGGAGAAATAAATGTTTCCAAGCCCTTATTCCAGAAACGTAGGGCAATCAAGCAAGCTAGGCCCTCGGCATATGGGTTGTATGCATATGTCCGATCCTGATGCGGACGAATTGGCCCAAAAAATGGCCTCCAAGTTCGATCAGAATGCGGACATTTTTGCACAAAAAAACGGCAAACTCCGATCCAAACGACTGACGGGATGGGGTGGTTGGGCCCGAAGTCCGATCCTTATGCGTACGTTTCACCCGCAAAACACCCAATATCTTGCCCGAATTTTGCCTCCAAAGGGGTGCACGGCCGTGCCAAGAAAAATATCATCTCAACCCTCGGTTTTCGCTCGAGTGGATACCGAAATGAGACCTCATGTCTGAAGGTCCGATCCTAAGTGCCGACGGACAACGCAAAAAAATGACCTACCCGATCACAATGCGTACGTATTTGCTGGTAAAAGTCATGTACGGAAATGGCCAAAATCCGCAAAAATGGATCGGACATATAACCGCATATGCCGAGGGCCTAGGAAGCTCCAGCAGATAGCAACCAATCTGAGGGATCCAGACTCCAAGAACCACTGGCATCCGTCCGCCTACGGCGCTGGATGCTTAATCCACCTATTCATTAAAACAATGAGAACGAATTTTGCGACCGAAATGTGGTTGCCAAGTGTATTTAGGGCAGACAGATACGCGCAAACGCGTAATCGAGGACGATGGGAGTGGAAAGCAGGAGAGCGGAGTTTGAAACGCTTTGTCAACGATAACAAACATATCAACTTGAGCGTTCTGATCAGTTTCCTCAAGTCCTGTGGAAGGTCTGGCGTACTCTACTGTACTAGCACTTGGTCAACCGTTTACAGTGCTAATGTTTAGTTCCGCCGGCGTTAGCTTTGAATATAAACCTGGCCAACTTCTTCAGTTACCGACATGATAATCAGGATTCCGCATATGATGATCTTGTGTCTCTCCGGACCATCTACCATTGTGTGGGCCCCGTCTTTTTGAGGGGTTAGCCACACGCTGTCGGCTGGCTCGCTTTGCCCAGACGTGGCTTCCTTGTCTCTTTCCACTGGTTCTCTTTCTTTGTTTCCCCTAAATCGGTAAACTCGATGCCGCATTCCCGGTCATCCGTATGTCTTTGATCAATAGTCCTCTTTGTGGTACCCTTACCTCTCTAGAAGACCGCTGAATCGGCCAGCCTGCCCCCGATCAATGTATTATTTGCAGAAGTTCTTCAGCGACAGCTAGCCCAGCCCTCCGTTCCTCCTGTCCGCAGACCTTCGGCCTGGCCTGGCTTTGTACGTGCTGTTCTCGTGACATGCTATCCGCATGTCCCTGAACGTTTCTGGTAGCCCGGACCAGATAAGAACGCTTTGTCGACCCCGACATCGGGATACGCGCACCCCTCCCCGCCTCCACCTTTGCAAATCGGCCGCCGTCCCTCAGAATCTTCCCATTTTCCGGTTTGTGTTCCTGCCAATAAAGCGCCGTCTTTTAATCTTTCCGCAGGATGTACTGAATAGTCCTTCTATATTTCCCAATGTTCATGCAAGGAACAATTATCCAATGAGCGTGAGCCTTGAAACTTTATTCCGTAGTCTTATATCCATAATCGCCATCAGGATAGTAACTCCCATCAAAGGAGTCAGCTGTATGCTGAGACGCAGGAACGCGAGTTGTCAAGCGTACGATTTATGTCTTTAATTCTATGGCTGGATTCAAATCTTGATCGACCTAGTTTCAAACTGGCCGTGATAATTATGCACAATCCTCGCAACCTGCGCCATTCCGCTCCGTAAATATTCTATGCTTGGCATTTCTTTTTCTGACTGCCTTTCATTAGAGGCCACAAAGTTGGTCCGACTCTCGACCGACACAAACCCCCCAAAGGGAAACCGGCGTAAGTTTTTATTCTCTCTTTATTCTTACTACGAACTCTACCTAATTTTTTTCTGATTAGCGACTATCACCTATTGTGCTGACTTCGCTCCTTACCTGTGACCTATTAGCTAAATTCGTACTCAATAGGCCATGACACCCGCCGGGTCACCTCGGCTCTATGATCGTGAAGCCTCACGACCGCGACAGCGCGACTTGGCGTGTCAGCACTGCGCTTTGGACCGAGACATCGAAGGGCGTCGTGCCGCTGCGACTGCCCGAGGCCCAATATCCTCCGAGTCCCCCTACGCCCACAAGCAGCAGATCCCCACTCCGCTGCCCCCCTCACATGGGCACACCATGATTCCATTTCAACCGACGCCAAGCGCTTATTCTGGGCGTGCCTTTGGTGTCTCTATGCGTGACATCCTTGACTTTCGGCCGTGCTTGAAAGATCCCGACACTCCGGTCCTAGATAACGGCGTGGACCAGGTTTTCTTGACGCTTGAGGTACGCACTTGCATCCTCTGTTATTTAACGATGGTTTCACGCATTTATTTTTTGCACATTAGGCGAAGGGCTATGCTACCTTCGTCCAGTCAATCTCGGGAAACTGTCTCCACCGGAAGATCTCGCGCTTTAATCTCGCTTATGCCGTGGCGTCTGCGTTTGACTCATTTCTCCAAGTATGTCATTCTTACGGACATTAGTGACGGGTCGATAATCTCTCACAAGGACTTTCCATTCAATCCTGCTGGCCTTAAGGCCGCGGCTATCGTCGTTCGTTCCGTAGCAGAGTTAAGGTTGGTTAACCTATATTCGCGGGACGGGCGCGTTTGGCGAGTGCACGTAGCGTATTGTGTATGATTAAAGATATGGAATTTGGGCTAATTAGTCCATTGTATATTTTATGGACAACTGCTATGAACAACTGTAACGAGACGATTTTCCGTGTGGTTCCCAAGAGAATGTCCAGCAGATGCTGAAGCTCTGAAGATCAGATAGTGGTTTGTCGGAAATCTCTACGGCCTATAGCCTCATCGTCGCCCGTGCTCGGGGATAGTACGTGTACTACGCTAGATATATACTACGCTAGATATGCACTTTAAACAATAATTTACAGTCCATCATCACTGAAGCAGCCAAGCAACCTATCCCCGCGAACGCGAACTGGAGCGCGAGGTCGAAGTCCGGAGTCCATATTGAACTTCGCGCAAAAAGGCAGGCGTGAGGTTGGGGTCGCCATCGTGAAATGAGGGTAACAGATCCTCATCTGCGTCGGCGGCCTCGGACTCAGGGGTAGGTGTGGGGCTCAGACTCATGAGCGCGATTTTGGATTTCAAGCCCTCCGGGCGAGCAGCCTTGACCGGTTTGCGAGCAGTACGCGGTGGGGAGTTCTCGGGAGTGGGAGGAAGACGGATGGAGGGGCGCGCAGACGTGATGTAGACTTCGGGTATGAGTCTGGGAGTGCGCTGAAGAGGAACAGAGTGACTGCGGTGAGGAGGGATGGTAAGAAAAATATTTTTCGTGGGCGACGCCGGCGTCGCTTTGCTGCGCGGTGGGGTGGGGGGTAATGGAACATTGGCGATCTTCCGACGCTTGGGGCTCCCATCCGTCGATTTTGGCGCCGCCGCCTTGCGTTTCTTCCCTCCCTCTGCCCCCTCTGCCCCCTCCTTCCGACGCTTCTTCTCGCTCGCGGCCTGTTTCGCACGCGTCTCCTTGTCAATCTCCGTCTGCAGCATCCCGCAAACAGCTGCGCGTCGCCCTGCAGCCACACATCGAATACACCCTCCCATTCACGCGTCGGCACAGGAAAATCGAGGTTCAGATACACGTCTTGACAGGCGGCTCCTCCTCCGCAGGCGCCCCAGTCGCAGGAGATGGACTCGGGCGATTCGATCCCGCACCGTCCTTTCCGCGCGCGCGGACGGCCTTCGCGAACTCGCGGACCATACGCTTCGTGCCCTGCACACGGAGGCTCGTGCCAACGACGAGCAGCAGGTCCGCACCGCTGCGCCCCTTCCCCTTCGAAAGCCCCAACAAGTCCCTCCGCACGACATCGCCGACGCCCTCTCCGTCTTTATGAGCTTCGTTGTATAGCACGACCGATGGGCGTAGTCGGCCGATGCCGCGGGCCCGCTTGCCGACGAGTTGCCGGGTCTCTTCCATCGCGGTACACTCGGGGCACGCAGGTGGGGTGCCGAGTTCGAGGGATACGATGTGGTCCGAGAGCGCAAAGGAGTGGTTGCAGATTTGGCAGTGAACGGTCTGGAGGGTTCCGTGCAGCGGGATGCAGCGAGGGATTTCCGAGGGGCGTTGGGAGACGGCTGGTGGAGGCAATGTTTTCCCGCGGCTATAGGTTCTGCTTCTGCTCTGCTCTGCTTCCGTTACGACAACTGACGGCGTTTTGGTCTTGGCGTTGGCCTTCGGCGTGCGGGGTCTAGAACGCCTCTCTTGAAACGGGGGTACACCAAAGGAAAGTCCACATTTTTGTTCGAGGCTATCGATGTTTTGAGAGTAAACACGGAGCAGCTTGCCCCTGACGTCGAGTGCGCGGAGAAGGTTGTGAAATGGTGTAGGTTCGGCAGCATTGGAAAGTTCAGAGAGGCGGGCAATCATCTGGTAGAACAGAGACGTGGTATTCTCGGACTGGACGATAGAGCGAGAGGTTAGTCAGAAGACAAAATAATGAATTCTAAAGGTTGCTTTAACGAGAGCGACCTCGTCGAGCACACCTTGGCGATTCAATGGCCTAAAGACTTACATGGAACACCGAGGCATCGAATAGATCCTTCCCCGAAGCCAGAGCCTCCTTGGGATTGTCCCGCTTCAAAGTCTGAAACAGCCCCTCTGGAGACCTGAAATCCGGTATTCCTGCTTTC